GTCCGTCCGCCACGACTTGAAAGTGTACGTATAAACCTGAGGAATACCGATTTCCATCTGGAAGTTCCCTCGATTTCTATTAAATTTCGATACGTACGACCGAGACGTCCGAATCAGAATTCGAATTTCGGGTCTCTTGTGCGAGGAAATGAAGTATCCATTTCCTAAAATAGGAGTTTGATCAATTTGTACAAGTTGACGTTGCATAATTTAAATGCTTCTTTCTTTTCTTTTCTTTTTTTTAATCCAGCTCGTCGATTTTTGAAAAATCTGTTTCATAGTTGGAGAATAAAGAATTTGATAGAATTACGTCAGGTACTTAATTATTTTATTCACAGACGTGACTCGATGAAATCCTTCGTTTCTCCTTAATCATAGTTAGGCGAAGCAGAACTACAAATGGGAAAACCATTAACGGCTCGTACCACGTCAACTCATCCCACGAAACGAGACAAGTGAAAAGCGTCTGGACGATGATAATTAGAGAAAATTCCCTCGATCAATCTCTGTGCCCTTCTCGCCCAATGAATATTTATGACATCCCTGGGTAGTTTTCATTCGGAAGAGATTCAATTCTCCACTAATAACTTCAACCTAAAGCTTTCGATATCAAAGAAGCCAGTTAACTGCTTCTAAGTGATAAATTTAAAGGAAAGAACATATATCGATCACGATTAATCCTGAAATTTAATCTTGAAAGATAATATGGTATATATACTTAATTATCCTAAAATTATCAAGTAACCAAAAACGGTTCGTCGCATTTTTTACAATGAAAGATGTAGAAAAGGAGCACTATATTTGTCGCGTAATTACCTTCAACCGTAGTAAATGAACAAATTCTAATTGGCCAATTTTATTTCATTGTTCAAGAAGTACGAGCTAATGAAAGTAGACCATAAGCTTTCTTCGCGCATAAATATCATTTATCATTATATTGTATATCATTTATGCATTATATTGTATATCATTCATAAATTTTGATCGTTAAAACATCGAACAGATCTAAAACATCGAATTACTACGCTCTTTCAAAATCGAACTTCCAAATAATATGATCACGGGAAAATTATAAATTTCCAAAGGATACCGTTCGAGATTAAAAATAATCGATCACTGAATTTCATCTGGCCGGCGATGCTTATGTATTCGATTATTGTGTGCACATTGTACACGGTACAACAAAAGCCACCAACGGTGTGTTTATCGCGGATACGTTTCGCGATTGTAATTTATGTCGACTCACGTGTTCATTAACTAGACGATATTGAATATTACTTCATGTATCGCGAATAAACGACTGCTATCCCCTGTTGCGATTCGATATGGGCTGGATGGCGGACTAAAGCGATGGATGATGGACTAAAGTAAAGCAAACTTTTCCTCATATATCGCACATATCATATAATCATGCGATATTGTTTAATGTAAAAGGTTATAAATTCTGTATTGGTAAAATCGTGTTTTACCCTAGGCAATTGTTCTTGGTTAATGTTGTTAATTCTGTGTGAAAATTTCACGTTCGTGGATGCAGTGCAGAATGAGAATTCGCGCAGAGTTTAAAACTGTAGAATTTTACATTTGAAAGCTTTATGTTAGAATATTTATTAAAATTATTTAATCGGTCAATTCTTTAATCGATGTGAGACATTTTTCTTACGAATCGAACTGTATTAGTCGAAAGTATTAAAAATTGTAATAAAATTGCAAGTCAGCCTATTTGACGAGCTGATGTTTTTGTAATTGCTTTTATATTGTTAGAGCTTTACGAGCACCACTCGGAAGTTGCTTTCTCGCATTACTCGCAATTTTACATTCCTCGTTCGCTTTATTATAATTCACTACAATAGGAATTATAAGAATTGACATCGATGGCTTACTGTACATGTATTGTAAGTGTACTTTGAAATTTGAGTTTTTATACGCAACAAATAGTTCTTGACCGTTTCTTTCTGCTGTATAAAAATTACATTTATATGTGCTTCATATAAATTTATCAAAAATAATATTTTCGTTTATTGTATTTTATGTACATGGGCATATTTTGAAGAACCACGATCCACTTTCTTACTCCTTCTTACACATCATTTTATCCTCCTAAAAAGGATCAACGTACAATTTGCAAGCAAATTAACAATACCATTGTTGAAAATGACAACGTGAGTTCGTGCTCGCCATCCATATGCAGATGCATTAGTTATAAAAAATAGTAAGTAGAAGATAATCCCAGTTACAATCGATAGATTTAATCGATAGGCTTAAGATGCTTTTTTGTTTTTATCCCTAGTTTTTTAAGCGCGTGCAATAAAGGTTTTTTTTGTGATCCTACCTCTGAGTATAGAAATAACAACAATCACTGATAAAGATGAATACAATGCAAAGACTAGATATCTATTTAATGATAAACTAACATTGAATTTTGAAACTATTTTTCTCCAAAAAGCGCTACAAATTGATATTTCTGCAGTACCTGTAACAAGTCATCGACATGTTCCATTGTCAAATAATTAATTTCTCTATTATCAACAAATTAATGCGTTAATACGTTCTACTGTATCGGTGATAGAATATCGCGAAACTTAGTCATCGACATATTCTATTGTCAAATAATTAATTTCTCTATTATCAACAAATTAATGCGTTAATACGTTCTATTGTATCGGTGATAAAACATCGCGAAACTTTAGTCATCGACATATTCTATTGTCAAATAATTAATTTCTCTATTATCAACAAATTAATGCGTTAATACGTTCTATTGTATCGGTGATAAAACATCGCGAGATATTAGAAACTGACAAAACTCACGCGTACGTCACATCGTAATCTAAATTACTTATAGAAATTGAAGGGTTAAAAGGGTTAATAAAAATATTCTCTCCTTCTCTTTTTGAAATATGAAGCATACAAAAAGATGGAAATACTTGGAGAACTCAAGACGTAAGAGTGACAAATACATAGCCGAGGAATGATCGTAAATTTGGTGGGCGCGCGCGTGCAAGTAAACGTCCGCGAGGCAGCGCGTAAAAGCGTCGCGCGCGCCTTTCAGCCTCATGCATAAATGCATCGTTCGCATTGGTAGACGCTGATACACGCAAATGTGACGCGCGACCCTGCGTCGCAATGGGCTGTCACCGCGACGCCTGTAAACGCAAGAAATTGCGCCTGTAAAACGCGCAACGTTTTCTTAATATTTCTCTGCATCAAATTTCGTTCGTTTGCAATCCCGTTAACGAAGGGAAATGGCACTTTATAATTCGTTTAAGATTCACGCCAGAAGAGGATATTTCACCGTAGAAACCGTAATTTGCGATTCTACTGATTTAAAAATACATTTATGGCGTACACCATTAAAAAAGGGATTATAGCGTAAAATATATTATATGAATAATGTACTCCGTATGATTATATATAAATATGTAATATTCTGTAATCTTGTAGGAAAGTTATCGCAAGACGAAAGTATATTTTCATGGATACGCGTACACTGAGGTTTTGCTGAAAAACGTGATTTACAGTAAACGCATGTTATATGAATGATATTCTGAACTTTTCTATTATGTGATTAGTATTCTGAAATTTTGTAGGAAAATTATTGTACAATGAACATATACGACACGAATTCTAAGATTTTGTAGAATATATTATATCAGTACCCAACGCATCGAAATTTAGAATTTCTTTCTTTTTTTTTTTTATTTTTAATGATAGATACTCCATAACACAGATGTATAATGATAATATTAATTGTCGATCTTCGATTTAAATGCAAATGTTCTGAGTTCTGACTACAGAAAATTTGACATAATTCAGTTATTTTGAGGTATGTTTAAGTATAGGTTTGGTATGAAAAGTATTTTCAAAAAGTATTATTCGTCGAATAATACGTTATGCGATGGCTTTAACAGAATAAAGGAATTAATTGGAAGACTGTCAGACAGCTGGTGGAAATAGGAAGCGAGTTCAAATTAGAAAATAAATGAAGTCAAATAATTGGGGAAAATTAGGAATGGTAGGTATAATGAAAGCAGGTAAGTAAAGTAAAGAAAGTAGGACAAAATCGAGTACGGAATAAAATTAATTGGCGAAGCGAACTCTAGAAGGAGAATTTTATTTCAGCCAACGATCGAGTATTTCCTCGTTGCAATTAAGAATAATATCCATAAAACGCTCTCAACAAAGCTTCAACGTTATTCGAGAATCAACTTCTTTTTATCCATTTAACCGGAGTACATCCTAAGGAAACGTAGAAATAAAGACTAATCGATGTTATCTTTTTGTGCGATGAAAAATTCAAAAACCAAGTCACTGTTATTCTCATGAAAATCAATAAATCAATACTTACGCTAAATCATATCTGCTCTTGATAGATACTTCATGATCATTTTATTAGGTTAACCCCTTAAGATACATTTTTGCCATATGTATCGCGAAAGATAGAACATTTTATCTCCATAATGCTCCATAATATCGTAATAATTACAAGATTCAGCTGGAAAATTATTTTTGATATCGTTTCGTAGACATTTCTTTAATAAAGCAATGCAACGAAGACGTGTGTTTTATTGACACTATTTTCCTAATATTTACCGATCTCTTAAGGGGTTGAAAGAACGAAAGTCAATGATGCGGACAACTGACTTGTAAAATTTGTGTCGATAATCCTATTCCAAACGCAAAATTTCAAATCTCATTTTTGCTCATCGATCCTGTTCTAAATACTTTCAATTCTTCTCATTAATCCGATCCATATTAACGTAGAATATCAAAGTTCCTTTTCAAACACAAACTTCCAATCTTCTCACAGAATGATATTCAAAGAGTAAAAAAATTAAATAAATATTTTACAAAATTCCAACCTGATTTCTTGTTATATTCATCGAATCGGTTTTGTGCTCTTTGCACAAAATCTGCATTCGGATTGCAAGTCAAATGCTTCCACGGCCACTGGCTTTCGTCTAAACAAACAAATAAATATTGAATATTGACGTGGCACGTACCGTGAAGCCGATGCCGACAGTTGCTGCGAAGTTTCCCGGTTGAAATCTTCCGGTATCGAACTGGACCAGCAGAGATGTCTTACCAACACCGCTATCGCCCAGGAGGATTGTCTGCGATCAAAAAAAGAAAGAGAAGTCATAAGTCCTCGATCACTATCGCTTTCTTATCAAGCGCACGTCAATCAAGCCAAAGTATCTCTTTATTGAACACCGTTTATGTGGACTTCACGATATCGTTCTTCGAATGAATATCCCGTGCAAAACCCTGACCGCTTCCGGGATCAATTTTAAAGTGGCCACTTTTATCTTGATCGAAGATTTATTTGCAACAAAGTAGGATTTAAATTGACGATCGATGAGAATATAGATTTATTTTACTAATTGAAGGATTAAGAATCATAGCGTTATAAGTCCATTGTCATTCTTGCGTTACATTTTGCGTTTATTGTTCTAAAAAAGCTCATTATATTTCCTCAAATTATAAAAAAAAATTATACCGTAGCATGAAATAAATTTATTTAATTACAAAATTAAATGGATGCTACTTGGAATCTGGTGCATGATAAAAGTTACGATTTGCGATTAAATTGTGAAAATCTTGACTTAAACTACTACGATTGTCAGTTCTCCAATCGATAGTAATTCTTCTTTAATTTACATCCCCTTTATTGCACAAAGTTGGATGTATTGTTACAACGTAATTTATCCGTAACTTTGGCAAGTTGGACAAAATTATAACAACTGTCCTAAATCTTTGAATTACAATAACTGTCCTGAAAAATAGATTAAAGAGCGCAAGTGATTTCAAGTAGGTATGTAGATTATATATAGACGAACAATTTTTTCCAGATATCCTGAAATCGTCCAATCAGTCACCAATCAATTTCCAATCATTTTCAAAACGAACCTATAACCTTCGAACTTCCTGTCGAAATCCTAGTTCCCCTCTGCCAATACCGCTTCAATTAGAGGCAACCCTGTAATTACAAGCGAGCAGGAGCATCCTTTACGATTTTTCTTGGCCCGGTGGTAGCTTCTCAAATTACGCGTAACGCATGGTTCGATTTCTCTCCCATGAACCGTGGCGCGCTGTGTGGTCCCATAAAGGCTGCGGTCGGCAGTCAACTTTGTTGCACTTTGACTGTGGCCGTTCCTCGATGGCAACACCTGTAGCCGACAATAGCCGTTTGACCCGCTGGATTATTACATTACGAGCCAGGATGGCACCTGCTTCGCCATCGGTACAAGTTCGGCCACGCGTATAATTTTATAGAAGAAAAGCAAAACTCAAACTACATCCGCCTATTTTTGTTTTCTGATTCTTTATTACGGACATGCGTATTTTTTATGGAACATTTAATGGAACAGATAGGTACCATTTTATATTCTGACAGTATTTCAAAATACTATGACGTATGGTGTCTAGAAACTATAAGAATACCATACATTATACAATTTTTTATTGACTAATTATTGACAATATTCTGATATTATTAGTATTATTGTTATTAATATTACTGTACTACATATTGGTATTATTATTAGTGTATATGCTTATTATTAATTCCTTTAGTTATTTATTATCTTAGAAAACATTTGTTACATCGGGCCATGAAATATCTCTTTTTGTTTTACTTGTCTGAAAACAGTAAAAGTATTATAGAATAAAAGATTATTAATTAATTAATTGCAACCAAATGATATTAACGACGTTATTAACGTTGATAATATTAATATCACTGATATTAATGATACTAGCAAATAACTATTTGCTTCTAATAACACTAATCATAGAATACTAATAATATTCAATATAGTAATTATTTCATAAAATAATTGATGCATAAATAAATATTAATACATGCTTATATAATAGTAATAATAATAATAATAGCAATAATATTAGTAATATCAGTTAGTAATTATTTACTTCTAATGATACTAATCTTTCTAATATTATTATTATTATTATATTTATTTATAATAATATTTATTCAAGTATTTATTATTTCAAAAAATAATTATCACATTGAAACCTAAAATATCGCTATAAAATATTTTCTTATTATTGTACAAAAAATTACACGCGCTACTAATACCATCGCCTATAGAAATATATTCGCGTTTCCGTAAACGTGTATTCAAACACATACTCACGAAAGCACACTGCGTGAGTGTTGGTTTATGCAGTCGTAGGCATCAGAGTGCGAAAGGCACAGGTGCCATTATCGGTTGGTTAGAGGAGATGAATTACAACGACGCGACGACGAATTTTTCCTACGGGATATCATAGGAATGTTCAAGTGGAATGTTTCAAGCGATGTTGATGTTCGATGTGGATGTTAAAACGAGTCGTTTCTAATTTTTGTAACAGTTGCAGTCAGATGTATTCGTTGTTTGAACATAATGACAAACGAAGAATGTGGTAAAATATTGTAAATTAGATGTTAACGGCTAATTTGTTTCTACGATTAATTTCGTTATTACGGCTTTACATTCCTTACGACTTTCTTGATAATAAATATCCCATTTCTCTCTGCCCGAGAGGAATTTCCTGATAAATACAAAATGCTTTTATAACAGTTGCCAGATAGAACATTTCTGATTAGTTAATGTACGTTAATAAACAATCTGTATTCGAAAAATCGAAACGCAAGTTGTATGGAAAAATACCTAACAGGAGAAAGATAATTTCTCACACATATATTTTATGAATTTTTGGATCATTGATCTATTTGCTCATTTTCAGAGAATTGATTATTTTGATTATTAAACGATATCAGATATCCTCACGGAGCAGCTGACAAACTCGTCGCGTCTGAACATCTCGAACTCGTAAACAGGTGATCGATAAAAGATTGTACAGTTTGCTGTGATACGAAGGCAGTCAGTTTGGAGAAAAATTTGAATAGATGAGCAGGTACACACAAACATGATTATTAAATATTCGTTCGAACAATATACGTATTGCTATGAAAATAAATAAATATCTTATAGTATATAATTTTCCATACATGTAATAATAAAGTATAATACTCCGAGATGTAAGTGATAGAATCTCGGTAACGATGTAATGAAAATTTCATTGAAATTTCAACAGAATTTTCAATAACTAGATTGTTCCTGACGTGAACGGTAATAGTTATTCCTTAAACAATTTATTATTTGAAACTTCAAAGATATAGATTAGATTATTATTTAGATATACGTGTACAATATGCAAATATATCACACGCAAATGGCTATAACGGCGAGGCCTGAATCGTACTTTGAATGTCAAGTATCATAACACGTGTCAATGTATCGAATAGGTTCGCGAATTGATGGAACACCTGGATAATTTCAGCTCGTAAAGAGATCGATGATTAGGTTCGAACAGGTTGCGTCGAAATTGAAAGGTAGTCATTTCGAGTGCTAGATGCGAAGATAAGAGTTCAGTTCGGGCATAGAAATGGCTATTCGGTTTATTATCTTGTTAAGAATATCCTCTTTCGGTTCAGAAACTCCATAAAATCGCAAGAGACATTAATTACGATGGAAAGTACCGAGAATCGTTAGGAGAACGTATAAAGTACAAAGGAAATGATATTTAGTTTAAATTCGTTCGATCGCTGTCTTATTTTATCTTCATTTGTCGATAATAGAGATATGCCGCTTATTACCTTGTCTATGAAAATATTTCACCGCATTAAGTATGCTTTTTATTACTGAAACTGGTATCAACGACCAAGATATCGAACTTGTTTAGAATAGTAAATAAGATTCGAATTAATTCATATTGAAATACGTGAAGCTTGTAATAACAAAGTTAGAATGGAAAGTAGCTATGTGAAGAGATATAAAGTGGCTCACGAAAGTGTACGAACATTCACCATAAAAGATTTTTATGAATGTATTATATACGTTGTACGAAACATTTTGAAACTTCGTTAGCGTTACAGTGAGACACGACTGTCGTAATTACGATAGTAATATTTGACAGCAATCGAAAAATGTATGTAGAAGTTACGTTTATTACAAACGTATATTTGATGAGCAGTTAGTATACAATGTGAATAGTAATCTTGAACTTAGAATTAGTGCTACAGAATTTGCACTCCGAATTTTATTTCAATTTCGTTAGCAGCAGCTCCCAGACGTTTTTTAGTGTTTTATCTGAAATTTACTTTAACCAAAAAATAAGGCAATTTAAATAAATAAAAGGGGAAACAAATTCAATTAAATACCAATTTTATTCACGCTATTGTTATATTTTATAATTTCTAAGTGTATGATATATCTTGAAATCATTTCCAGGATGCAATCCTGCTTTTCTTTCGCACGTTTCACAAAAAAAGTGGGTCTGAAAGAACGTCGAGTGGGACTCGACAAAGGAGCTCCTGAGAAAAATTGATGTCGAGTAATACACGATCGATCGTTCAGATATCTCGGTGATTTTTGCGAAATGTTCCAATAAATATCTTCTAACTTCCAAATACATTTTCAAATTCGTATCAAACTCGACCAATACACCCACGACAACCGCATCATGATTTTCATTACATCGATAATGAAATTTCGAAATGTTTCAAAATGAAATATAATATCTGGAAAATTCCCAGGGGTGGTCCTACAATATTTTCACTAGCCACCGTGTAACACGAAAGTTAGGGAGACAAAACGAAGAGAAATGCAGAGCAAGAGAAAACCAGGAAAGAAGAGGGAAAAATAAGCGGAGAATGTAAAACAGAGAGAAAGGAGGGAAGATAAGGAAATGAAAGGATCATAAACTAACAGGAGAATTCTCAACGAAAGCAGGCAAACGTGAAATGATGACCGTCGCGTCGTCCGGTCTTATCCGCGAAGCTCGTAAAAGTAACAGAATTAGTCAGTCAGACTTTTACTACCTCGTCATAAATTTGTGGCCATCGGTAGATGGGCCCGAAATTATTCGCGACGTTTCCTCGTCACTTTTTATTTCTCTCTCATTTTCTGTTCGTTCACGACACACCTGTGAACAGAGTCCACTGCGAACGGAACTCGACGTTTGACCCAGGCCACGGGCAAATTATTACATTACGACCAACCGCTTCCACCTGCATTACCCTTAGGGATATGCAGCTGGGACTCTT